CCCTAAAGCCTATATAACCCCCTTTAAGGAGTTTAGACTATGACTTCCCCAGAAAGCCGGGTTTAGGGTTTAGGGTTTAGGGTAAGTGTTATGACTTGGGTACTGCCCCCATCCATTAACAGTCTATTTTCGGGGTCCCATTAAGGGCTATATACAACCATATTATAATTATTATCCAACTGTTACTGAGGGGGGGCAATACCCAACTTAAAGCCTACACCCTAAACCCTCAAGCCCATATAAACTTACCATTACTTTGGGTTCTTTAATTCCCTGCATCTCAAACTTTCAGATCTTGAAAATTCCAAAATTTCAAGATTAAACATCCGCTCCCAAACCCTAAGCAATGGCAATAGACCCTAAACCCTCAACCCTAAAGCCTAATGGATTCCTCGACTAAACCCCGCTGTAGTACCCTCCCCGGCCAGTTAAGGTTGATTCAGGGGGCTCGTGACTAGTAGGGGGCGCAGGCGGGAGTGTATCAAGGTGGTGGGCGTTGGTTAGGAGAACTCGTAAGTCAAAGGTCCAGGGTTTAGGTCACTGTAGGTTCAGATCGATGCAGGTGAATTGAAACGGGGATAAGAGTCTATGGCCTAGGTCCGGTATATTACTGAACTTACTGGGAGTTAGTGGAGCATAGGGGAATATATGATATGGGGCCTATATTCTTTTATCCCCTGCTAACCGCCAGTAAGTTAAACACTAGCGCTATCTGTAACGATAACATGCAAAGACTACGGGATATCACCTGGTTCAAGCTTCAGCATTCCCTAACAATCCTCGGAGCCCTGAATTGGGTTTTAGGGATTAGGTTTAGGGTTTAGGGTTTAGGGTCCTACGTACGTGGAATAAGCGAGTTAGTGTCGTCCAGACTGGCCGCGGTGCTCAATTTGTTGGGTTTAGAGTTTGGTGTGTTCTGGCCTAGTACACGTTCAGCTTAACTGCTTCTTCTGAAGATTAGGAGACTGTGTGTACATGCATACGCACCCTCTATGCCCTTGTATTCCTGTGCACTAAAACTTGAAGCCTAAACCATATATTCAATCCATCTGAAACCCTAAGCCCTAAACCCTAAACCCTAAACCCCTAAACCCTAAACCCCTAAGCCCTAAACCCTAGACCTGGCCTGTGAGTGTGTTGATCCAATCCAGGCTGTCCAAAGTGCCTTCTGTTTCTGCTATCTTTCCTCGAAGCAGGATTTAAGATTTAGGGTGTAGGGTTTGGGACTTAAGGTTTGGGGTGTAGGGTTTGGGGCTTCAGGTTTGGGGTTTAGGGTTTAGGGTTTGGGGGGTAAGGTTTGGAGTTTAGGGCTTAAGGTTTGGGGGTTTGGGGGTTTGGGGCTTAACCTTTTGTAGGGCTCTGGCCCACGAAATTTGGGACGCAATGTGCTCTAAACGCTAAACCCTGAACCCGGAAGCGCTGAGGTTATGGAGTTCGGGAGGGTTCTACAGGGAGTCCATCTTCGTGGAGGCTACGTGGAGGCCCATGGGACTTAGTTAAAGGGTTAGGCTGTAGGGTTTAGGGTCCACTTGGAGGCCCATGGGATTTAGTAATTACTTAGAACTGGGCTTACAATCCTACTGATAATCCGCCTACACGGGCTTATAGGGGTTACCCAGTTATAAGTAACGCCATAATCCCAGCTAAAAGCAATTGCTAAGTCCCGTGGGCCTCCAAGTATATGGGGAGCATGAAGGGAGCTTAGAGGCCGGGGATCTTGATGTGTATATATATATATACACACATAAAGTGACTAGTGTGGACTATACAGGGGTTCCCTTTGGGTTTGGGGTAATAGGGGTCCTTTGGAGTTTTCCATGGGGATTGTTTAGAAAATCCTGGAACATCACGGTGAACATGCCCGCGTTGCAGTGAACAGGTCGCTGCAGCTGTTGGAGGGAATCCTGTTTGTACAAATCGCTTCAGAACCCTAAACCCAAAAAGCCCTAAACCCTAAACCCTAAACCCTAAAAGCCCAAAACCCTAAACCCTAAAAGCCCTAAACCCTAAACCCTAAAAGCCCAAAACCCTAAACCCTGAAAGCCCTAAACCCCAAACCCTGAAACCTACAAACCAAGTGAACCGCAAAAAACCAAACCGAAGCCAACCGTTGAGTCCCCAAAAGGATGAACTGGCAGCATGTCATAAGCTTACTTGAGGGGTTTCCCACAATTATGGGTACCGTTTAAGGGTTTAGGGTTTAAGGGTTTAGGGTTTAGGGTTTAGGGCTTAAGTGTCCCTATACTAAGGATTAGAATGGTTTGGGGTCTATATTGGGGTCCCCCTATTTAGGGACATTACCACTTCTGTACAGGAAGAACCTTACCTGAACCCTAAAACTATGTAGAACACTTGCGTTTTGGGCTATTTTTTGGAAGTTTGGTCTATTATTTTGCCCACTTTTGGAGTCCAGGTAATTATTTGTCGTGCGAGATGCGTACTAGAAGGGGTTTATAGGGTTTAGGGTTTAGGGTATAAAGGTACCAACATGTAGTTTCCAATATCCCGCTACTGCTAATTATCTTACTGGGGTGGGGGATTCCCAAAATGCCCTAGGCCCAGGGTCGCTGGGGGCTTTTTTTGAATAACCCGTCCACTGAACAGAGGACAGAACCCTAAACTACATGCGAGGGCCCTATCTAAAGCACAACTCAAATACCCTCGGAGAAAAAAACAGAGGTTGCACGATGCCTCGCCAATAAACGTATCAGTAGCCTGGTTGCTGTTGATCATCGAGAAGGTTCCCATGTACCTTCTTGGGTTGGATGTATAGGCCCCGAATATGGAACCTTGCTCTTGGGGTCATTATATACCTAGTACCTTAATACTAAACCCTGAGAGCCTGCAAGCGGACCTTACATACCTAGGCTGTACAGGGCTTTGGGGCTTGCTCGCTGATGCCGAAGAGGCCTCATGAGTGGGTCGCGAGAATAGTCTGCACGCATGTATCTACACACACAAACATATATCTTGAGTTTAGGGTCCTTGCCGAGGGAATGGTAGTGTTGGGAACGACCCTTCAATGTATTCTTGCTTGGGTTCCCAGGTATATGCATTTTGTTTCTGGGCGGTGCTTCGAAGTTCATTGGGACCGACGGCATAGAATATGGCGACTCTACTCAATAAGTAGAGAGGAATTACTGGAGGAATCCATTCCTCCATTACTACAAGGAGGCCCATGGGACTTAGTAACTCCCTAAATATCACTGGGCGTATATCATTACCTACAATCCCCCAAAATGGGCTTGTAGGGGTTACCCCAATTATAAGTGGGGTTAGGACCCCACTTATAAGTAGTTACTATGTCCCACGGGCCTCCAAGTACGAAGAAGTGAGCCTCGAACCAAACACATCAACTTCCCAAAGTGCAAACTCTGAACCCTAAACCCTATGACCCTACACCCCAAAGCCTTGAATTTGTGAATCCTGATCCTGAACCCTAGGCGCTTCTTAGAGATTCAGAGACTCATAGAACATAATGATTTCTTTTAGCTAGGGGCAATGTGTATGAGGCCAGTTTAGGGGAGTATAAAGAAGAGCTATAAGTCCAGCCCTAAGTTCCAAGCTGTAACTCATAATAGTAATTCAGTCCATGAAGCTCCCAAAAACATGGCCCATTCCTCTGCGAGTCACATGTTGGCGCGGGGTACCATGATGATGCTATAGATGAAGATGGCGACAAACTCAAAGCCTCACTCAAAGATCAGGACCATAAGCGCGGCAAAGGCCATACTTGAAGGCCCATGGGGCTTAGGAACTACTTATAACTGGGGTTATAACCCTACCTTATAAGCCCATTTGGTGGGTTATAAGATGTTATAAGTAAGGCTATAAGCCCAATTATAACTACTTACGAAGTCCCATGGGCCTTGCGGTACTTCAAGGAATGCGGGTATGGGGCCTTACTGCAGTGGAGCTGCTGTTCAGCTTTCTAGCGCGCTCAATCTACTTTTCAATATCTGAAGCCATGGACCATCGTGTGCCCTTGGCCCGAAACTCGATACCCTAAATCTATTTCCTAACTTCTGAACCAAATACCTCTTCCTATGGCAAAAAAAAGCTTGTAAAAGGGGTTTGGATACCCTTACACAAAAATCAGGACCCTATGGCTACCACCATGCACGGATGCTAAAGGCTGCCAGAAACATTCTTTTGGAATTAGGGTTTAGGCTTGCACCCTAAACCCTAAACCCCTAAACCCTGAACCCTAGGTTTAGGCTTGTAGGGCTTGCGGCTTTGGCTACCCAACTGCCAAGACATGAACCTAGGACGCTCAGATGACAGAGGACTCCTATCGCGCCTTATAGTCCCCCTTAAGTAGATAGAATATTAGGGTTTAGGGTTTAGGGTCCCTCTTAAGGAGATAGAATATTAGGGCTATATTGGGGTTATATGGGGAGAATGGAAAACAAAATGGAAACTACTATTCAGGGTTTAGGGTTTAGGGTTGAGGGTCCCCCTTAAGTAGATGAATATGGATCATGGAAAAGAAAATGGAAGCTACTATAGTATATTTGGGATATAGAGGGAATATGGCTTTGGGCATATTAGAATAAGATCCCCAAATACCCCATATTCGATCTACTCAAGGGGGACGATAACCCTAAACCCTGTATTCTATCTACTCAAGGTCGACTATAATTCTGAAAGTTGGGCACCAAACCCTAAGACTTGACCGTTTAGGATTTAGGGCTTAGGGTTTAGGGCTTTGGGTTTAGGGTTTAGGATTTAGGGGTTTAGGGCTTAGGGTAGGGCTTAGGGTTTAGGGTTTAGGGTTTCTGTTGCGAATCCTCAACCCTGGCCAGGACCTACTTCAAGGTCCACGGGTATTTTGGAACACGGTTGTCGGGAGCAGTTAGGGTGTTGTTGTTGTTGCTGTTGCTGTTGCTGTTGCTGTTGCTGTTGCTGTTGCTGTTGCTGTTGTTGTTGTTGTTGTTGCTGTTGCTGTTGCTGTTGCTGTTGTTGATGTTGTTG